TGGGCATCCAAAGTTTGCGATCCATCTTTCCAGAAAGACGCGTGCGACTGTTTCAGCAGATACATCCTTGAGGGGTACTGCTTCACGTCATCGTGTTAAACGATCGATGCAGGTTAAAATATAAGTATATCTATGGGATTCCGGAAGGGGTCCAACTAAATCTATATGAACATGTTCGAAACGAGCGTCAGGGAGAAGAGAGGTTAAAAGGGGGCTTTCGGTGTGTCTCACTACCCTGCACTTTTGACAAGCTAAGCACGTGTAAGCCCATTTCCTCACTTCCTAATTAACACCAGGCCAACAAAAACGACTAGTTACGAGCTTGACAGTAGTTCGAATACCTGGGTGGGATAAGCCATGCAACGTATTGAAGACGTTACGGCGATCAATTTTAGGCACGATGGGGGGAGGAGAACTCGTGGAAATGTCACACAGAATAGTATCTCTTCCCATACCCAAGGGTTTCTCGGCTAATTGCAGAGTTTTTTACGACAACTCCTATTATAAAACTACAATTAGACTGCTGAAAAATGGAATAAATACATCACTGACCTCAAAATGATACATCCATTAACTTTAACTTAAGGATGCTGTTCACAACAAACTTATATAGGAGCATTGACTTCAAGCTTTCTTTTTCCCAGATATTTGTATTACATTCGTCTGATGTCTGGGTTTCTTCTCCATAATGGATAAGATTTTGTTTTCATAAATCACGCAGTGTTACACAGTAATATTAACTGATGACGTTTCGAGCACAAATTATTGCTCAAGTTTTATACTTATGTCTAAGTTTTTTGTTAATGGGAAGACAATATTTTTGTTTCTTTATGTGTTACACAGACAGACTATTTTGCAGACAATTCCGACTGACTCTAATGTCATAAAGAACAAACAAACTGTAAATTCACCATACATCGAAATATGTGTAATTTATATAATAACTTATCTATGCCTGTACAATTTACATGTTCCGGCATAAACAGGAATATATATATTAACTCATGTTGAAGCTCGGTATCTTCTTTTTGAAGACAAGCCAGTTTTACAAGACCTGTGCTGTCTATTTAAGTGAGGGAACAAACGCACGACAAGGCATCTGCCACAGTGTTGTTCACTCCGGATAAATGGCTAATATCCGGTGTAAACTGTGAAACGTAGTCCAGTTGTCGTGATTGTCTAGGTGAATACTTATCTGAAATTGAGTTCAGAGAGTACGTAAGTCAGTGAAAGTTATGAATTCACGACCCTCAACTGAATGTCGAAAATGACGTGAAAGGCCGGAAGTTCTCTTCCGAATGTGCTGAACTTCGTTTCAGCTAATTGGAGGCGCCGCGAGAAAAATGCGATTAGTTGCCGCTCTCTGTTGACTAGCTGTTGCAGAACTGCGCCGATTGCAGTGTCTGATACATCAACCGAAATACTTAACGATCCCGTTGGATCCTGATACTTTAGAAGTTTGGCATCCGCAATAGTTATTTTAACCTGAGTAAAAGAATTTCCAGCAGACGCGTCAAGTTCGATGGACTTGTTGTTCCCTCGAAGAAGGTCTGTTAATGGCTAAATCAGAAAGGCACAGCTGGAAATAAACCGTCCGCAAGAACTTACCAAGCCGGTAAAAGTGAACAGACTTTTCACTGTCTGTGGCTCTGGAAATTTCAGTGTCGCCTCGACTTTACTAGCCAGTGGGCGAATAGATTTGCAGTCAATGGTGTGGCCCAGTAAGTCGAGTGGGTCAACGCCTATCTGAAACTTTTGAATATTGATGGTAACACCATGTCGGCGTAGCCTTTCAAATGCCAAGTCCAAGTGTCTAAGGTGAGTTTCCTTGTCTGGACTGGCAATGAGGCAGTCGTCTAAGTATGCGTGTACAAAGTCGAGACCGCGAAATACTTCGTCGATGAAGCGTTGGAATGTTTGTGTTGCATTCCGGAGGCCGAATGGCATACGTAGAAATTCAAAAAGTCCGAAAGGCGTAATGATAGACGTTTTCGGAATATCTTCTGGTGCCATCGAGATTTGGTTATACGCTTTAACCAAGTCTATTTTCGAGAGTATAGTTGACCAGCTAATGTTGCCCTCAAGTCGTGTATGTGGGTAGCAGTCAAGGGTAGTTTTGGCGTTCACTCACAGATAATCACCAGTGGGTCGCCAATCGTTGCTATCTTTTTTCCATACAATGTGTAGTTTGGACGCCCATGAGCCATTCGATGGCCGGATGATAACAAGGGTGAGCATATGATCGAATTCATTTCTAGCAATTCTCAGTTTGTCAGGGGCCAGTTGTCGTGCTTTAGATGTCACGGGTTGTCCTGAGGTTATGAGGTGGTGCATAACGTTGCTGGTTATGCACGTTTGGTCGTTAGAAGGGCAATTAAGTCCCGGGTACTTGTCAGCAATCAGATGGAAAGTTAGATCAACGATTGCCTTTTTCTTAACGAGTGAAAAGCTGGGACCTACGTGGGTGATGCCTTCGATAGACAGTGTAGTAGCACTGTCTATCAGTCGTTTTTGGCGGACGCCTGCGAGTAAATCATGATTATTAAGTAGGTCCGTACCAATGATGGGTATTGTGACGCTGGAGAGAACGAAAATCCACTGAATAGGTTTGCGTAAACCTACGTTCAGATAGACGTATTTCCTACCAAAAGTTGCAGTTGGTTTTCCATTTGCAGGCTGTAATTTGAAGGTAGGTTCGTTCAGTCGATCTACTGATGTAGCAGGAAGGACGCTGACTTCGGCGCCTGTGTCGACTAAATATCGAGTCTAGCTGGCCACATCATGAATGTAAAGTAGGCGGCTAGTGCCACCGGTTGCCGCTAACGCGTGCCGGCGGGATAGTCTCCCACAGTCTTTGAGACATTGCCGAAATTACAAGGTTTTCGACAACATTTCGCTTCCTGGCCATTGGTGTTGTGGTACAAACCCCAGTCAGGGTATTTTAGTGAGCGTGGCCTGGACTTAGGTCGACGACGTGAGTTCCGCCGTTGAGGGGAGTTTGGATGACGGTAGGAGGAATAACTAGGCAAGTTTGACCTAAGCATCTAGTGGATGAAGTTGCATAACTCTATCACTGCAATATTCTTACTCGAAGTCTGTTCGGCAACTGAGCATATTTCAGTAGCTGGCCGTTTAGTTATCTCTAGAATTTTATCTGCAGAAACAGCTAAGTCATCCATAAGAACACCCTGAAGTGTCACCAGCACAGTCTGTACTGACTGTGGCAATTTGGATAAAAAAGATTTCTCTGAAAATTCCTTCATCGAACTGACGTTGGCCAATAACTTCTCTCATTCTTGACAGCATGCTCACGGCTGACTGCCCCCCTAACTCGACGTTACGAAATAATTCGTCCAGACGCTGTCGATCCGTGAGACCGTTTCTCCTTAGGAGGGATGCTTCGAGAAACTCTTACGAGTAACTTACTTCTGGACTCGACATCTGCACAGTTACGCAGTTGCTGAATTCCTGCGGTAGGGCGTGAATAACTGCAAGGAACTGTGAACGTCGATCGGTCATCCCATGCTAACAAATATCAGACTCCGCTATCTGAAACTATGTTTCAGCATTATCTGGCCAAAATGGTACGAGCTGAATTGCTTTGGCAGTTGAGCGAATACGAATAACTTTAGGAGTATGATCACTCACGGGGCAATAATATAGTTTTAAAAACAGAACAGGAACAAATACAAAATGGAACGAAGTCACCGGGTTTATCTGCGCATTTATTGAAGATGAAGTTCGCGGTTCGGCTCACCAGTTTGTAGGCTGACGGTATCGGCGTTCGCGGATTATACGGAGTATACTAACACAAGATCTAATACCAACAACTTTTATAGTATTCGTTCCTCGTGTAGCAAAGGCAAAACAAAAGACCAGAGTTAATCGTCCAAACTATGAGATATATTTCGGGACCAAATCGCAGACCGAGATGAATGCTTAACTGGCTAGTGATCGTGCAAGAACGTGACACGACGGAGTACCAAATGGCATGGATGCTTGACCGGAAGCCTTCAGCTAAACAAGTCGACTTAAACAGTGAGGGTCAGCATCTAACGTTCAGTGATGATTGCTGTGGTCAATAATTTTTGGAATATTTTACCGCTGCAACCCTATCAAGAATTTTTCTTCATATATGTCAATCAGGAAGGTAAATTTTAGCTTATGTTTAGAATATGCAACACGTAAACTGGAGTTAAGGTGGGATTCGTGAACCTTTAAATGGAAATTTGAAATTATAAGTGTTCCAGGGGAATAAGACAAAGAATGTGACTGAATCCAAATATGAAAAATTTATTCTACGACTATTAAATTTCTTATCAAATTTCATTGAAAATTATTCCAAAGAGGCTGCGGCTTATGCCAAGAAGTACGTAGATTTTCCTACCAAACTGAAATTTCCCTAGATATTTGTGATGATCCAACCTGATTAAATCCATGGAATTCTGTCTGGATACTTTTGATTGCAAAATTGTCCGCTGCAGGCTTTGAAATGGAAATTCTTATCATGGAATTCTGTTAATTGGGAAGTAATACAATTTCGCTGATTTACAAAGTTTGAGGTTTATAATATCCGTTGCATCATATCCTACTCTGAGCAGGTATTATTCAGATTCTAAGCAGTTATATAAATGTGCCCAAATGATTGATACAAAGTCTCACCTGACAACAAACAGGCAGTTCTGGGCATAAACCATGGGTAAATATACGAGAAAATTGACTGAAGTTGTCCGTCATGCTCAAGTTCATTGGTGGAGTTAGACACATGAAGGGCATTTTCGTCAGTGTTAGCCTGGAACATTCATCATTGCAACCAATATGCTAAGAGTGTGTAGCAGTCGGATAAGATGACGCAAACACCAACATAACTAGTCAGGAAATGATAATTCCCATCAATCAAGATTACATATAACAAAATTTCGCTAAAAAGTATTGATAAAAATATTTTCCAAGCGAAATTTCAACAAACGTGATATATAAGTGTAGCCATAAAATTCAAAATTGTTTTAAAGCATACACGCTGAAATTGTACCTTCAACTTCTCAAGAGGTAATTCGGATAGCGACGTAACCTCGTAGGATGACATATGCTATTTTGTTCACACTCGTTACCTTGTTATATAAGCTGAAGATTTTCATCCTGAAAATATTCCAATTAATAATTTTGAAGCTCTCCATTAATGCGTACCTTCAGTCCTCATGGTGCGATCTTGAAAAGAATAATACAAAATTGCCAAAAATACCTCAACATATATCATTTGTTATTTTTGAAGAAATTTTCTCTGCACAAGATATTGCTAATTTAATAATGTGGTGTTCTGCCATTGGTGTTTCTTACCTGTCCATGTCTGACATGAAAGGTAATGACAGTGAATGTTATAACAAAAACTAAATAACTTACAGGCAATATCCTACACCTAAGAGATAGTATTGACGAATTTGTCAAAGAAATGGGATTTGCTGTCGAGAGAAACAAGGAATTCAAATCTTCTGTGAAATACAGTCCTATGTTTTATGGTAACTACAAATAATCTGACATATTTCAAGCATCAACAATGCTATCCCAAATAACTGTCAATTATCTTAGTTGTGATGATGGGTTCGATCAGATATGTAAGTCGGCGCGTCATCTTAGCACTCACTGCGATAAGTTAACTGACGAGAAAGTTGATGAGACTATAAAGGGTTTGTTCAACTTAATTCTCATACCTTTTTCAGAATTAACTAAAGTCCCAGACGTCGACCTCACGATACATTCTGGACTATGTTCGAGTTTCTGTGGTTTACTTCCATGGCAGAGCCGGTTTTCTGAGTTCATGTATGTTCTATTTTATAATACTTTGTTTGCATTTTTTAAGACAACATGGTTAACTCATTTTAAAAATATATTAAATGCATGGACCTAATACAATAGCTCGATAGAATCGCAATGCTATAATTTTTTAGGCGGAACGTTTGCTTTCCCATTCATATGTTTTCGCATTCAGTCTGTTGGGAATGATAATTACTAAACGTGTGGTTATTGTTAGACCGTAGTTCTAAATAAGATTGCCCATACTCATTATGTGTAGCAGAGTTCACTGTTCGATAGTCTCAACTGACAGCTTGCTTGTTCACCACTGTACATCTCTCAGCTTTAGTACAATCGTAATTGTGCACAGCTATCTGAAAACTACTTGGAATTTTGTGGGGATGCATGTCACCAATGAGTAAGTCACGTTATCTGTGTATAGGGATGTGATTGACATGGATATTGGTTAGTCCACATGTCAATTTTTAGTATAGCTCACGGGCAAATGAACCACAACAATTTCGAATCTTGACGTTTCATCAAGCTTTTGACTTTTTATTCAATAAGAGACCAATTTCTTAGAAATATATTGCGGTGATGTAATTGAAATTGGTACATACTATGTAGATTCCCGTATTAAAGCATGCACGCAAATAATGAGACGGACGCTCTTGTTTTAACAAGTGGAGAAGCATACCGGTGCTTAATAAACTAAAAGTCCGTTGATGAGGAATTGGACTACAGCTCCATTGAAAAAAACTCATTTGTCTGCAACATACTTCTCGTGCCACCAGACTAGGAGCTACACTCGTTTGAGGTCAATTGATACTGGTCACTTGTGCGGGCTCAATTAGAGGCTTAAGCAAGCGGCTGAGTAGCTAAAAGCTGAACATTTAAGCCAGTGATCTACATTCCCGTAAGGTTTTATTTTGAATGAAGTCAGATATTCTCAAAGTGCATTCACTCTGGGAGAAATGCTTACATCATTCCCTGCGCTATACAACTAACCACATTGCATCAATTCAAATATCTACTTTGTGACCATAGAACTTTAAAGGTAAAAGGAGACTGTGTCGCTAATATTATTTTCACTTGTCAAAACGAAATGTATTACTTCAGCAGTAATACTAGTCGAATGGAAGGATTTCAGAGTACTCAGTGAATTTTTCGAAATCGCCAATCTACCAACTTGATTTTGGATAGGTAAAAAACGTCAACTGACAAAGTCATAAATATTTAATATACTTATTTCTAAGTTGTTAAGATACCACGTCTGCTGCGGTGCTGTTTATCTAAATCTACTATTTAATTGTTGTAGCATTAAATGCGTTTTTCTAAGCTTAGATTGTTACTTATAATAAACATACAGCAGAAGACAGGTATGTACTCATTGCAGGGTTTTCGCTTGTGGAGTATTTTAGAATGTTCTGCATCTTCGATTAATGAGAGTTTCTTCATTTGTGCATTTAGCATTAACAAGTAAGGTAGGCGTTTTGGAAATCCATTCAATATGTCTCACTTTTGGCTGGATAAACACATAAACATAATAAACATATATTTTGTCGTACATAAATCTGAATTTACAGTTTTAAAGTAACAGCAGGGCTGCTCCGTAGCCTGAAAAAAACTAACCAGCTACAATAGATTTGTGAGGTCTTACTGTACTACTCCATTTCCAAAACCAAAATAGTTAAGTGCATTGAAAACTTTATCTGATGAGAGAAATCCGCTTACTTGAATATAGTCGTGATACATTGCGGCCCTTGAAATACACTAAATTAACAATGTGTATATAGTTATGGTTGATAATTATGAATAAAGGAGCATTATAGCATCAGTCCATGAAGTCATTGTTTGTTGTTTTAAGTCCTACAAGCTGTAGATTTCCTGGCTAAGGGTTGTATAGATGCTATGATTCACTATTTGGAAACTGTGATATGGCTTAAATTGTGTACGTTACTGCATATGAATTCCCTCATTGTCATCTGCCGATTTTTGACAATCACCTAATTATTCTCGCATGGTTTCGTCGAATCTAGTATCACTATATTTTTTCCATTATTATTATTTTCTAAAGTACGTCAGCTTTAAGTTTTTTGGTTTTTACGCTGATTCATCATTCCTTCACGAGTGTAATTGATCGCAAACTGTCAGCTGATACAAAGGGTTACGATGCATGACCTTTGGTGTGCAAATCTGTTGCAGTTAGCGACTCTCAGTAGTAAGCTAATCTTGGGATTCCACTGTTACTTTGTGCGGTCAGCTTATAGTGAGAAATAATTTATGTGTAGGGGCTGAAGCTACGGCATGTGCGTCCCATTATCTGTCACATTAGCTATTCCTGAGAAAATAAGTGGGCTGAAAATAGCATAGGCACAGTTTGGCAAATTCTGATTATATCGTTATAAACATTTTTGTTAAATTTCAACTAATACTCCTCATTGGTCTTTTTCTTACGTGGTTTATATTGTCTTATTTTGTCGGCATCTTATTCACCGTTTCACCAATATGGATATATGCGTGTATATGCGTCGTGTGAGAATCGTTGAACAGTTGCTTTTACAAAAGTCCTACTCCAAACAGCCATTGCAGAAAGTATACTTTCAGAATCACTGCTTTCAACATCCACACCTTGATCAAACGGGATGGAAATACGTCAATCAGTTTTGAGTTATTAATTTTCTGTTTTTCAGTTATCTTTACTGTCACTACAGCCTTTTGAATCGATAGAAATTCGTAGAATGTTTAATAAAAGCTCTTCATACTGATGTAAGATGGCAGTATAATTAAATATAGAATATCTGCAGCACATAAAATCTGGTAATTCTAACCGTGAAACTAGATATCGGAAGCATTGCAATGAAATAACGAAAGTTCCAAGTCCAACTTAACATGCAGTCTCAGGGATCTTTTATTTCTCATTTTACTAGTTCATAATGTTAGTATTAATTATAACAGGTATAGAAGATAAAACATTAGCTAAAAATGTGTATTACTGATCATTCGAATCATTCGTGTTCAACGGTTTTTTTTTGTAATATTCCAGTAAATAATGTGCAGACGAACTTTTGCGATCTAAAAGTAACTAAAACTACTAACAACTCTGGAAGCAAACCAGCCAAGAACCCACTGCCCAACAAATATGCAGGGAGAAATGGTGGTTGACTGAACACATGATGGGGAGACAGTCAAGTGACATTTGGCACCAGAGTGTTGAGTGGAACCCGAATTTAAAGTGACTTATGAGGGATCCGAAGATGACACTAGGGAGATCAAGTGAAGAGAAAATGAAAGGTTGTAAGTAGTCATCGTACCGGTTGGAATTAGTGACACAAAACTGAGTGTCGTTGTAGCGCTACGTTCCATTCGGAACTCAATGGATGAATAATAAAGCTATTGAAAACACTAAAGCAAAAGGGTTGGGCAGTTTCTACTGTTCTAGAGCAAGTAGCTAACACTGTGAGTGTAACTATGGTCAAATAAACCTTTTGTCATATCCAACAGAAAGCAGACAAATTGTTTAGACATTTGACTTATAGCCCATAGGTCACAGATTTATTATTTCGCAGGGTGATATACTATGCCCTCAGGAACCAATCATCTCTTACATATTCATACACGAAAAAAAAACTGTACAAGCTATCTACACTGCATTTTAAGTTCCCGGTTAATTTATGATGAATCCAAGACTGTAGGACTTATAGTTTGTAAATAACAAATAAGCCTTTTTTCTTTATGGTAACTAGGTTTCCAACTATATCTTAAAGTGCTTTAGTGAATTTCGGTGCTTTCCATGAGTCCTTGTATGCAATTATAAGTTGGTTGTTCCGATGATTTGTATCCTGTACAACTAAATTTCGTCTTTTTCCTAAACTACTCGGTTACACACAGTAATGAAATCAAGTATTTAAAGTGACTATCTCAGAAGGCACTATGTACTAACTTTTGGTTTATTGTCAACGCTCACCATTAATTACTTGGATGTTAATTATTTTAACTAAAAGTCCTCTTGATTGTCTTGAAGTATCCAGATGGCAAATAAAATGCCAAATAGTTAATGTTTCGAGTTTTTAAGCTGTACTGGGGCCACAATTTTAGTGTGTTCATAACTGTAATGCAGGAGTGACTCATCAGCTTAATCACTCGCTTCCCAATCATGTAATGATTCTAATTTCTTCAACATGTGCAGTATCATTTGTAACATTATTTTACTTGTAATTCATCTTTATCTATATTATGTATTCTATATTATGTAACCAGATTGCAAATTCAGTTTAGACACTGTCAGTTAAGCAGATTAGTGTATTAATTGTCATGCAATTTTTTCTAGTTCAGAAGACATCAATATTGACCAGCTTACCTTAGGCATGGGATCATGATTCACAACTATACCAATCTTGAGATCAAAAGCAATTATTAGTCCACAGTTGTGGGTCTGTTAGTAACAGTGTCTAAACCCTCGTTTTATTTGTTTTTCAACAGACGATGTCCTTCGGTCAGAGGCCTTCAGGAATCTGATTTCCATCAGATTATGCACCGTTTTGGGACGGTAAAGCAACGTTGGGGTCGTTGATTCAATGCAATTTAACCGTTGAGATTAAATATTCGCGATATATAGTCACAAGAATCTTTTGTAGTAATAGTAACCTCTGTAAGTCTTTCTCTATGTGTTGCGACATTTCTCACTGCTGTTAATAACAATTATCGCTGTTGTTTCATGAATCCTAAAAGTTACTTGTCCAATGTAATTTCTTTAGCCGGTAATTTTGTCTAATTTGTCTTGCCTGTTATTTTTTATTTCACGGGACAAGTTGTATTTCTTGTCCTCCTCTTTCATATCCCATTGATGTTTATTCTCATTATGTTTTTTCCCTAAATTTCAAACAGTTCGAAGTAGTGTTAAAACTAAACTGTATGTTTTCTAAGTCAACCCATACATGTACATAAAAGGTGTATCGCTTTAGCAGTTTTATACATTTCATAGCAGTTATCGTGTACTGTACCTCTGAAATAGAAAACGAAATTTTTCTATACTACTTTATCTTTTGTTAAACTTTGGTTGCTCGTTTGTTGTTTGCAAGTCTGTTCGAAATACACTTACATTACAATTAGTCTGAACAGATTTATTTATTTTTTAAATGAATGTCGTAGTTCATCTTCACACCGTATGCGAATATTCTATTGTAAATGCAACTATTGATAAATAAATTCTTTACATTCAGGTATTTTAAGATTTGTGGCACTCATCTGAACTTGATAGTATTATCTATTATTGTTAGTCATCTGTTGCGTTAAATTTGTTCACGTGACAGTAACGATTTACACTTGTTTTTGAATCTCGTGAATAGTTTATTGTGTACATATGGGTATATAAGTCAGTTTATGGATGAATGTTAACGAAAATGTTACTTTTGAAAGTAAGACTGAAATACCGATAGAGTGTAGTCCATTTCCGAAATTTCGTTGTCCATCTGTGCTCGTGAAGAAACAAGCATTGATTTATCTTTTGAATAATACTGATTCGCTTAAGTATGCTAGGGAAACTGGAGACGAAGGCATTTCGGAGATAATTGTGGATAGTAATGATAAATATGTATTGCATGACAGACGTGAATTAGACCAGCCAGCAAAGTGCATATCAATGGATATTACCACTCGTAATGTACCTACAAAGTCTGGACACCCATCTACTTTGAACTATAATTTCCTGAAACAAACCATAAGAGAAGATTTGGGTCAAATCAGTGTGCAAAATGCCTACCTTTTCCCACAAAGTTCGGCTAGTCTTAAGAAAACAAACCGTTGTGAACACGGTACAAATATATTCCAATCTAGTAAATTTAAAGCAAGAGAACTAAATAAAAGAGTCTTATCTGAGGATGAATTTTCATCTGGTGATATTTATCAGCAGCTCATGGTTTCAAAAATGTCCACATGTTATCAGAAACACAAAAATAAATTTTATGCTAGTCGAGCCAGTAAGTTATTTACGAACCACGATTATGATTGTAAATTACCATCTAGGCGTCGTGATCATACTATTCATACTAAAAGGTTCCGCTTATGTCGCGATTTTCCAAGAGTGAATTTATTTATTCCTTTCCATGAGGTTCAAGAATTTCAACGCATTCAGTATCAAAAGGCTGTAAAACACAGAATCGGTCGTCAAACTTATCTTTGTACTACCCAGCTTGTCCATTGGTTCCTATCATTACACATTGTAAGGTGCAAGATACTCTTGCCAGTGGATAGAGATCTAACCTTGTGTACCCAATCTGTCGGTTTGCAAGATATGCCAGTACCATTTACTTTGATTGTGGTTAATGCAAACAGTGCAGAAGTTACTAGTTCTAATGTTCCTAACGAAACAACTTATTGTTCACAGATGTATTGTCTGATCACTGAGAGTAAGTGTCATTTTTCACTCACAAACGGATGTGGTTTTCATGAGCTTGGTCAAAGACAATTATGTTCTATTCATCCAATGATGGCATTTAGAGAATCCTATGTATATTTCAAAACTTTTGTCCTTCTCTTCCACTCGTGTCAACAAGTGAAAGCTACAGTACATACTACTTACCCTTTTGTTTATAGTCTGAATACTATCGTAACAAATCATGGTATATTTAATGTATCACTTACGGTATTAGGTTTTTATCGTTCACTATTGGTTGAAACTGTTTGCAGAAGAATTCGTGACGAATGTGTGTTTAGAAATAATGCAATAGCAGTACCAAGAAGTCTTTGGTATTCTTTACTTTGTCAATTTTCAGAAATAAATAGTGTGATTGGTTATTCCCAAATGGTTCTTTGTAACAGTAATCCTATCAAAATAAAAGCATGCAAACAAAACTATGTTTTCACCGTTGTATTGGATGTTAATTGTTGGATAACCAGTAAGTCCTCCGGTAAACTTCATTATCCTTACGAGATGAAAGCCAAAACCATAATAGGAGATGAAAGTCTCTGTTACTTCCTTGATTTCTGTACTTTTTTGTCGCACAAAGCTTTAAGAAATATGGAGTTACCAAATTATTCTCCAACACCTATTGTATGCAACAAAATTTCATCCTTGGTTGAAGTGCTTATGTCCACTCCAAAAATGATAGTCTGGCCTACTGATTCAAGTTTCGTGTTTATCAAATCTTCGATACTTCGGCGTCCTCTAACTGTCTTACAGTCTGTCTTCTTTCATACCTATTTTGAGGTTACTGTTATAGGTGATTTTCAGAAAAGATGGGAAACCAAAGACTCTCTGTTACCTTGCGTGTTATGTTTTGGTGTATATGAAAGTAATTCACTTTCTGTAAACAAGTCTGTCGATGTTCTGAACGTTTCAACGGTAAGGCGTATTTTGATTTCAGAAACTCCGGTTATCGATGACTTTAGTATTAGTGTGAACACACAAATCCATGTTTCGATAAAATGTAATTGGCCGCATTGTTGCATTTGCTTTCATATTGTGGATTTGTATTCATCCATGTTTGGTGATTGTATTCAAGTTGCTGACAAGGTGTTTGTTTCTTCCTATGTAGAGCATAAAGTTCCCGAATCTTTCTCTATGGAATGCTCAGTATTTCAACAGACTGTATTACTGAGTTTAGAAAATTCCATCTGTTTGTCTTGTAGCCTCATTGTTGTTGAATACGTCATACCTAGTCCAGTCATTCAGTGTAAGCTATTCACAAGTATTGTCAATTCATCGAAGTGTGAAAACATCTTATTCAGCAAGTTGCTGGATGTTAGACAGAAACAACTACAACAGCGAAGTCTATGGACTGATTGGTTTTATCATTCGGCTATGATAACACTTTCCTTTATCATCGCTAGTCTAAGCGTTAACGGATTGCATTCCGATGACTACTGGTCATCCGTTGGTTTACTCCTTGCACTGGCAACGTGCGCCTGTATATGCTTGTATAAGAATTTCAGTTACACTATATGAAAAGTATTAACTTAACACAGAGATAATGCAATGCTCTTTATTTCCGTTAAGATTTGTTTGTACTACTTTTCTGTCATTTTATTTATTTTTAAAAATAGAAAGGTATATGTATAATTTAATTAATTTAAACACCTAACTTAACATATTCAGTGTTGTAATGGTAATGTTGATGTTAAAATAAAGTTCATGTGATATATTTTCTCAATATTTTTCGAGTAGTTCATTTATATACTCACGTACTGAAAACATTTTGCATCTATAAAATTAGAAATAAAATGGTGATTCACGACAAAAGTCTTCTGGAAATAGTACACTTTTAAAAACATCAGTACAGTGGTCGATAGCTGCCTACCTAGCTGTAATTCTAGTTCAACGAAATATGATTTCATGCATCTACATGTTATTATTATCATCAATATTCCCTTAGATTCCGAGTGGAATGTAGGGCTTTAACAGCACACCTCCATTACATGCTGTTCTTTTCAGTTCTCTATGGATTTCCCCACTACTGCCCATAAGTTTTCATTTACTCCACATGACCACCTTCATGTCACACTCGGGAACCCAATTCGTCTTTTCCCATTCGGATTCCAATCGAGTAACTACCTGGCATGAAATGTTGCGCAGCAGTCTTCTCAACACGTGTCCGATGTATCTCCATTTCCTTCAACATATTTGTTAGCCGAAGGGTTCTTGGTTGATTCGTTCCAAGAGTTTCTTGTTGCTAATCCTTGAATTGTGATCTATCTCCAGCTTCCTTGGAGGCTATCAATTTGGCAATGAAGGTTCCTTGCACTAGATAATAATCTGAGCCCACATCTATCCTCGATTTAATGTCCATCAGACTGCGTCTCCACTCTCTTCAGTTTAAAATGAAGCCTATCTGATTTTCAGTTTGTCGATTTGATAAAACTCATGTCGCTTTTCGTCTATCGTTGTACCTGTATAAAGTGGCTTCAGTCACCGAATCATTGAAGGTCCAGAAATCTGCATACAGGTCCGCGTTCTCATTTATTTCGCCTGAAGCTGCTTGACCCATTATGAGTTCTCTTGGTGTGTTGTTCGCTTCCAGTTTACCATTCATATCACTCATTAGGATTTTGATGTCTCCATTTCGATTCTTGTCCATTACCGTTTGCAGTTGTCTGTAAAATTCATGCTTCTGTTGATCTGCATCTTTTTGGGAGTGCAGCATTAGATGATTATAGCTTTCCTTACTTTTGAATTTAATCTTGTCGTCATAATCGTGAAGGAGATCGGTTCCTACTGGAAAAGACCTATGGATGCTGTTGGTGACATCTTGATAGCTACCCTACCGTTTTGCTCGTGGTTGTTGTATAGATGACCGAAGCATATTATTCATTGTCCAGTTAATCATTTGGAGATTCCACCAAGATTTAGTTCTATTTCACACATTCCGAGCAGCCCTTTACCGTACCTCTTTTGCAATCTGAACACTTTTCTTAGCTTCAAACACTGTGTGGGCATTCCATGTCCGCAAGCGTATTTTTGCTTTCATCGGAAGATGACACATCTGCCGATTGGCTTCCCGAAGTCTTTACCAGCCCGCGTCATTCCGTCTCCGATTTCAGCGAAGAATATGTTTATTTTTATTTGCACTCAAGTTTCTGTAGCGACTGAGTTAATTTCGCGAGGTGGGTCGGTAGTTCCATACCCAACCTTCCTCTTTTCGGGCTTAGGACGTGCTATTAAAGTGGTAAACTAGGCAACGTTGCATTTACGTATTAAACACACCCATGTTTCGGGACAAGTTGTAAATGCTGCAAACAAGCGAAATGTGATTTAAATCAGTCACCCACTCTGTGAAAGTTGAAAGCTTCTATCAATTAATTACTGTGAAAACACTTAAAAATTTCGTTAGTAATATGGTCACCTAAACGTTACGCTTTATTACATGATTTTTACCCGTAAGAGAAAATGAACAGTAATATGAGGGTAGTTGATTTTCAAGTCTGCAGCGATCACCGCATTTTAATGAGTTGTTTTTTGTAGAAATGTCTATACTTTTATGCTATCAGAAGTGCAATAGTTGAACACCTTCCATAACATCTCAGCTGACTCATTATTCACCGTCTTTTATAAAGTGTCTAGAAATCTACTCAAAACATTAGACTTTCACTTTTTTCACTGTAGAGGCCCTCACTATATGCATGGAAAATCTGAGGTTATGTGAAAAAAAGAAACTCATCGAAACTTCGTATCTAGGATGGCTTTGATTAGTTATTATTTTTTTTACCAACCATTCGATTCAGTTTATAA